GAAGATCTTTCTCCACGTAACAGATTCAAATCGCCATTGCTTACATCCATCGGAGCTGTTTCCAGAACGTCGTCGATGGCGAAATTGTAGAGGGGTGGTGAGATTGGACAACCCTACCTAATCCCACCGCTCGAATGAAAAAATGAAGAGAGGTTGTTGTATGCCCTCACTCTGCTTGAGGTGTTTGTTTATGGGGCCTTCAGGATGTTAGTAGACTGCTTGGGCACACCCTCTTACAACAGACAACCTCAGAGAACAGTCCTGCCCAACGAATCAAAGGCGAACCTGATGTTAGGAAACACAACTACTATTAACCTGGGATAAGTGCAGTGGTGTACAGGTGACATGAACTCTTTTTCAAGATAGGGACAACTACCGACTCATTCCATGATGTTGGGACACTTTCTAATTGTTAAACGATTGTAAAAACTTTTCTCATCGTACAAGACATCGATAGACATTATTGATCGGTGTCCCATCGGATTCACAAATTATTTCATTCACACTAGACTTCTTGATGCCAGTGACTCGGCGGATGAGTTTCCGGCAATTACCACATATAGCCGCCACTTCCAACTCGTTAGCACGCTCAAACCACCAGGTTTCTCAGTCCACACGCAGACCTTGTACTGCCTGACCGTTCAAGATGATGTATTTTGTTGGCCACTGAAGCGTAAGATAAGACTAGTGCAATCAAGGGCATGATCGTGATTCACAACCACGTCAGCAGTAGTTGATAGTGATGTGACCAGCCTGAGTTCAGGCTTCAGATGCAGAAGGAGGACGCCAGGTAGCACATCCTCGGCGATTAGAGTGCTTATTAGTGCTAGCCAGAAACAGGTTGTTGCCTCTGAAAAGTTGCACCAGACGACCACCCTTATCTGACCTGAGGCCAACAAGTCCCCATCAACCACCCAGAAGACTCTCCTCTGTGTTCAGACGCCCAACTTGTGCATATCTCTGGCTAACACTATTATATCTGTCGAACGCAATCTCTGGAGAAGATCAAGTAACTGGTGGTAGAACTCATACTTGATTGCATTTGAACTGTAATCTGTCGGAGCGTAGGCTGAGACAACAAAAGTAGATCATCACTCACACCAGTTTCTTCTTATTTTGATACAGCTCTCTAATTCACGAGCGCACAATTGACTGCAAATGGAGATTCCATCAATTAGCTCTTAGTACGATACGAAAACCAGCGAGGCCGAACAGAGTCGTCGAGTAGACGCACGCAAAACGAGCTCTCCAAAGTGACAGATGGAGATTTGAATTTGAAGTGCTTCACTAGTCTTGAACACGAGTTTCCGATAGACAACAGACGTCGATGTCCAACCTTCCAGAGACATAACTTATACTATCTGTCTTCCGACCTGTATTAGCGTACGAAAGTTGAAAGAGGCCAGTTTACACGGCATACGTTAATTCTGAAAGATAGATTCAACGGTTGCGTGCAACTACGAACTAGTCAGTGACCTAAGATCGTCGAAGCAGAATGGAATGCCGCAGATGAAATCATTGACACGCCCAGCCCGAAACAAGAAACATACCTCAGTCAGTCAGATGCAACCTAGAACTTCGTACGTCAGTACATCAGTTCATGTTGCCATACCACACTAGCACAGAGACGCAATTGTCAATTCAAATCCTTTAGTGGTAGAGATAATAGGAGTACTACTGGTAATAGAGAAGATGAGGGTTCCAAGATATTATTCAATTAGTATAATTTAGCGAAATAGGTTTAGAAAGATAAAAATAGAGATGTTGACGAATCCAGAAGATTAGGATTTGAGAGGACGCAAAGAGTGGATGCACCTGCCCCACTGCAAACGATTTTGAGCCGTCATTCAAGGTATCTAAGCATCGGTTACTATCGTCTCGCGGACCCCAACCAGGTAGTCCACATCTACCAACATAACTCAGTTCACTTGTCAGTGACTTCATGGATTTCTGCCATCTTTTGGTCTAGCCGCCCCTAAATTTCTTCCAACCTACTCCTACACCACAAAACAAAGCTCGTCGAGGCAGTCGGTGGTTAGGCATTCGTAACACATGTCATACATAACCACCTCGACTGATGAAGCTTCAATACTTCGTGTATTGATCTGCCATCCTTAACTAGTACTCGTTTCCTAATGGGAGCGTTGCTCACTTGGTTATGCCACGATACAGGAGCAATGCTTTTAAGATATCTATGATCGAATACTAGTAACCTACGAAAATCTTCCACTCTTACCGGCCATGTTTCGCATCCATATAAGAGAACGGAGCGAACTGCTGCACAGAACACTGGTCCTTTAGTCAGCAAACGGATATCTCGTCTACGCAATAAATGACGTGCTGAGATTTCGTCAGTCACCAGAGCCATCAGCACTAATGAGACTCCCGAAACAAGTGAAGCGGTCGACACGCTCGACTACTTCACTCCCTATCACTAGTTCAGGTGCCGTTGCAAGCCAATCTAGAGGCAATATTTTGCATTTCGAGAGTGAGAACCGCATCCCGAACATGCTTGCATTGTTGCTTAGGGTAGTCAGAAGACTCTGCATTTTGTCAGCGTCTTCACCAAATGGAATACTCCAAGTCAGTAAGCGATCCTCCTGGTAGAAGGTCTGCCCCTGAAAAATTTGACGCGGGTAATGTTAACTATAAAAGGATGTCTACGACAAAGTTAAACAAGAATGGAGAGAGTGGAAATTCCTGATGGACACCACTTGAAGTAGAGAATTGCGATGACAGTTCGTCATAGGCTATCACTCGAACAGTAGTGTTGCAGTAGAGAGCATGTATAAGGTCAATGTACTTCTTTGTTACACCTTTTGATAACGTACTGCCACATAACCTCACGATCCACAGAGTCGAGTGCCGCCTTAAGGTCCAGGAAGACGACTATTGTCAGACGCCCAAATGTGTCTGCGTTCCAGGACCTGTCGTAGTGTGAAAATGTGGTTTATACATCCACGTCCAGATCGAAAACCAGCCTGGTTTTCTCTAGTTTGCTCTTCACGAGCGTTGGAGTATTAATGAGGTCAATATTTTCGATATTATATTAGTTAGACTTATTCCTCTGTGATTGTCACAAGAGGACTTTTGTCCTTTTTTGTAAATTGGGACAATTAGCGACTGAGAACAGTCAGATAGGAATACGTCCAGTTCCCAGATTCTACCTAAGATTTCAGTCAATCTGGCTGCTAAAGCTGAACCACCATTCTTAAAGGCCAGTTGAACTGATCCCTAAAGTGTTCTGCCCATCGATCCAATATCCTGGATTGGGAATGAACGATACAGCCATTCTTTTCTGAGATAGTTTCGCTAACAGATGGATTTACAAGGCGGAAAATCTATTTCCTGTTGCCTATTGCCACTACCTTTTCCATCGCTTTTGCTTTCGCCACTCACCACTGTTCGCGACCATTGCGTAGGCTTTTTAGCAGCCTGTGCTTAAGCTGACTACGCTCTTCATCATGTTCAGCACCAGATTGGATGTCTTTCCGAGCATCCATCAGTTCGGTAGATGCTACTGAGATCCATGGCTTCCTCCTAGCCTTAAGGTTTACCTTACTAGCAGATATCACTGCCGTTTCCACAGCTTTTTGGATATCATTTCAAAGTGCTACGGGATGGGAATCACATACATGGTTGCCCAACTACTGTTCTAGTTGCTTCTGAAACTTATTCTTAGCTCTGATATCATTAGGTGGAACCCTAAAAGGTTTCCTTGCGGTGTTTCCTAGGTCCGCAAACAAATTCGCGTTCGCACTAAGGCGTGATCTAAATCTAGATACGTTCCCCACAACGAGCGGCAGTGCTCTCTCGAACCTCTACATCGACGGCTGGTGTTACCCAGTTGGGTGCAGCGTCGAACGACTCATGTGGTCGCCAAGTCAAGAGATGCTTTTCCTCATGCCTGAAGTTAGTGCTTGCTAGAAATTGGCGGTTATCTGAGCAGTCGCAACAGACGACCGCCATAATCTGTTCGATCAGCAGCGACACCATAAGATCTACTCAGGTGTCCTTCATTTTCACATAGTCTACCTATTAGAGCATTGAAGCCACCAGCCATTATAATTACATCTGAGCGCCTAACTTTTTGAACGTCCGAAAGCTTTCTACACAGCTCATCTTTAACCTAGTCTAAGCTGCAGTAAGTGGGGGCATAGGCAGGAACGACGTATAACCAACGGCGAGTATCCCCATCTTTCAGATTCCTTACCTTCCCGTTTAGTCGGACAGCGTACAAGCAACTATCTATTGGGATCCAGCCTAGGAGATCTAGTTCTGCCCTACGACTCAATACTATACCTACAACAGCGAGACCCAGGGCAGCAGCATCAGGGCTTACGAACACACGAAGGGCAAACTGAGTCGCTTCTTCATCTTGAAATAGCGAGGCTGAGTGAATCACGCTATACGTTTCCGAGACGCAGTATACATCGATGGCGCAAGACTCTCAAGTCCTAGCTAGTGAGGCCTGTTGCTCAATTTGTCCGTACATTAAATGCCCCAACATAAAATTTAGAACGAGGTTTCAGGAACTTGCATCGTAAATGAAGACGCTCAACCAGTAGTACTTCCAACCTATTGCTCAGTGAAACTAAGATTGCGAGAGCTGTCGTCAATGAAAATATAGTAATTATTTGCAAATGCTAGGTGGGCAGACGTTACTTCGTTTTACTGCTTAGTCCTTTATTAAGAACACCTGTCACCGTCAAGAACTTAAATTTTGTGAGATCTTTATCTACGCAGTCGAACTTGTGTACGCCCGCAAATATTCCAAGTCACCAATTGAGGACCGCTTGCAACACAAACGCTTACTAAGGTTGGGAAGCTTTTCCAATTTGTAACATTCTGGAAAAATTTCCATGCAAACATTAACTCGATTAAAGTCACGTGAGTAGTACTAGGACATACATCGAAGCTACTCAACTATACATGGTAGTTTTAAGTCGACATACATCAAACATCTGACAGACCGATTTTAACACCAACAATTAAAAAGTCATTACCAGTCAATTATTTATTTAGCGTTCAATCAAATAAACCGAATCCCATGTCGTCATCACTCTCTTCGGAAGGCACCTCTGCGGGTGCAGCTTTCTCCTCTGCCTTTGCAGTGACAGTAGGACCTGGCGCGACGGTAGCTGGTGCTGCTGTAGCAAATTTAGATGGATCTGCTAAGAACTCCTTAATCTGTAATAGAACAGAAAATTTCGTTCACTTTGTAAGCATGATAATAAAAAGGGGCTAACGTACTTTGTGACACAAATTAAGTCACATGATAATTAAGAAAATCTACATTTAATAAAAACACCAACATATATAAGGATTTCTTTAGATCCAAGATTATTTCAGGCAGGTAGTGTTTTCCTCCAATGAAGGACAAACAGGGAGAATGACCAGGAAACAATTAACACGAACGTCAAACAAATATTTTCTCTATTGCTAGAAAACCAAAGTGCGTTCAGCTATTGTGGGACATCACAGTTAACTTCAAACACATAAATGCTAGTGTTCGGAATCCGGACTAACACACTGTTCTAACCATGAGATCATACGAGCCGGCTATAGAAAACTAGACTTACCTGGTCGGCTTCCTTAAACGAGTAGTCTGACATGACAGCTATAGCCAGTAAATTCTTGAAACCATTTGCAAGTACGTGTGGGATGCTAGCAAGTGTTGCAAAGTCCATTGCCAAACTAAGGCAGGCAATGTTCCGAACACCAGCCAAAAATTTCTCTGTTATCATTTCAGGGGTTATATCCAAGACTGCGGGTTCATACACACACCCTTGTTCAAAAACCTAAACGTATAATGAGGGAAAACAGAACTACCTGTCTAATAACTAAACCGTAAGTAAAGGGATGAATTTTCAACATTCCCAGTAGTGTAGCTTCGCTCATGCCGACTTTTTCATCTTTGCGTACCAAGTGGACATCGTTGATTATTTCGATTGCACCCCTGGCAATTTTTGTCGGTATGCTTAAAGCTTGAAAGAAAGCCGTCTTCTCGGGACCTAGACCAGTGTTTTGGGCCGGAACGACGACATCACAAGGAGCGATTGCACCAGCTTTGGCAGGTGCTTCAACTCGATTCTTCTCGATCTTCTCCCGGATATCTGTCAAGTCTCCATTGGTAAACACAAATCCAACGTTGTCTCGAATATGCGGTAATAGCTTTTCTAATGTGGTATCATGACTCATTCTCTTTTGAATGACCTTCCGTATCAGTGTGTTTTTACCCAGTACCAGCTCTGCGCTCCCACGTAGAGCCATTCTGATTTGTTGCATTTGCTTGGAACGGACATTGTCTACATTAACAATGAAGCATTTGTCGAATTCGGACAAGTGTTTCTCAAGCTTTCGAAAGTAACCAGCTTTCCATTCAGACCTGGATTGACGAACCATCTCCACGCTTAAAGACAGTAAACTCCCGCCAGTAAGAATTGATTTAAAGGAAAAGTATGTATGATGTACAATATTTCAACAAACAATTTGAACATCTCGTAGATGATGACTTCAAATGTAAACTTAAAATTCAAGCACAAACTTATGACATCTTGTAGAAGAGAAGTCGTAAAATTGTTAGTGACTGTATAATTCTTGCATATTGTGGTCTTATATCTCAACAGGAAGCCTTTTTAGTCGGTTATTGAGGTTTACTGGGGATAAACATAAATTTTGTGACCTTCAATTGTCTAAACTACACCTCTTAGTCATTATCTGCCTCTTAATTCCATAAACAGTTAGTGTAGTTGCCTAGACTACTATAATGGACAGAAAATTACTAGTAAGTTTAAGTACATGAGACAGTGACTGCAGCATGGTGATTAGACTCTGATCCTGAACATAGATCCACTTCACAATTAATCCATTGTGTTGAGCAAAACCATTATGATTTTTTTACAAGCATCAGAAGCACGTAAATGCTCCTGCGTAAAATCTGTTCATATATCAAATACCAGTAACTACGGGAGCAAGGCCACACGAAAGTGTTCACCATTGTAAGAAAATTTTCCAAATTCATCATGATTTATCCTTCCGTCACTTAATTTGTCTCCTACAGTTATTTAACGGCTTAATAATCAACTTCTAATCGTCAAGTTTTATAGTCAAACATGAAACACGAATGACAGAAATTTCCAGTCGGTTAAATGATCAGAAAAATTTTTATAGTTGTGAATTATTATGTTTGCTCATCTAATGCATAACATCCAGCATGAATTGTTTTTGGACCCATAATTTCAATTCTCTCCAATTTAAATCATACCGACTACCACTAAGGTTATGGTTGTGGTGGTGTTTCGTACTCTGAGCTGGATGTTTTGGTTGTGGAGCTTTCACTGTTCTTCGAATGCTTCACTTCTATCTGAAGTTTGTGCTGATGATGTTGTTCAGAAGAACAATGAAAGCTCCAAAACCAAAACAACCAGCTCAGAGAACAAACACCACCACATTCATTAAATAGATCACTCCCGTTGAATCGTAGAATAAAAAAATTTATACTTAGGCCTCGTGGAAAGGCCTATAGTATGTGTATAAACTTTTCCAGTCTATATTACAACTAGGTACAATGCCGAATTACTGTACATAATCTTAAAAAATGTCAACAGAAAAATAGTTTGCACCAGCCTTTGAAAAGCTAGTTGCGTTATCTGAACCTTCTGAACTTTAGTCACATTGATGACCAACATCTTTATTAACGTTTGCTCTCCAATTTGCGCTTATTATCATCTCGGACGTCAATCCGTGGTTACACTTTTTCTCAACATGTAAGTGATGTTAATTTAGTATTCAATTTATGTATATGAAAATAGGTTTGGCAAATAAAAGAACGGCCTTTACATCCTTCCATCAACCCTATAATTAATTTGTATTTATGTATTCAATTCTTAAACTCATATAACTAAACGACGTTCACCACAACTATCAGCGTTTATGACAAAGATATGATTTTGCTAACTTTTTATCACGCATTAAATCCAGAGTACAAATTGAGATCACTGTCGTGCTTTGTATATTTTATTTAAGTAACTGGCGCAGATAACTAGATAACGGCCTCAACCCACAAAAAACTGCTGATTTAGTATACTAAGTAATCAGGTAGACAAATAGACGTGGACAGTTCGAAACATTCGAAGTAGGATCATACGTCATCGACTCATCATCATGATGTGGAACAACTGATAGCGATATTTCAGCACCATTGTAAATAACTACACGGACTAAACAATCACGGAATATGATTTGTTTAATCAATGTAGCTGTAAACGAACTCCATAGCTTAGTTAAATTACATAAGTATTATTTCTTATGGCTAAATTCCAAAAAATGACTTCCATTTTCTTGCATTAACTCCATTTTAACGAAGAAAATGCGATTGGTTAGATAGAAACATCCATTACTATAACCAACTGTACCGGAGATTGTTTTACTGAACTCCTTGTATATAGTACTCTGTACAAACACTTTCCTTTCGTTTCGTTGCCATCTTAGTGACACTGCTCGTGGTAGCTCCTTCCATATTCTTTAGTACGATCACGGTATTCTTTCGAAACCACGAGATCGTCAAGAAATATTCGCACTTTTGTGGATCATATCTTTTTCTCTATCTTTGGTTCGCGACGGATTAAGTCTAGTGGCTTTAAAGTAACTGATCAGAAGTGGTGTGCGTAGTCAACCTCCACTTGTCGCACCACCTACTTGAGGTTGACTTGGTTGTGCAAACGTCAACATCTGAAAGGAAGCATGGAGTACAGTGAACAGCTTGGATGCAGTTAAACCATTTGAATCTCTCAAACGACTTACTTCTTCTATCTCACACTGAAAGAAATTCTAGTGGAGACGATCATTGGAGCAGCAGCTTCTATACCAGTAGACCCCAACATTCACAAGGTGTAAGAATAGATCCTGAAATAGAGCACTGCGAGTAACGATGAAACCGCACTTGGTAGAAAAGCTCTTGAACAGATGGAAATGTTTACATACCTGATCAGCATCATCGATAAACGACAGGGATCTGATGCAGATATTAAGGTACGTATTGGCAAGGAGGCGGCAGCATTCCTATGGATCATAACAGCTGATGGTCAACACCGAAGTCAGAATTTTCAACACAAGCGCAAAGAAAGTTCTCTTTTACGGAGCGGAAATTCGGAAAACTACGAAAACCATTATGAAAAAGGTATGAGTATTTGTGAACTGTTGTCGATGCAAGACCAGACGGCATCTTCAACAAGCTACTTTCAGAAGAAAGATCAGCTTCCATTTGAGGAAGAAATCAGGAAATGAGGTTGGGGTGAGTAGAACATATTACGGAGATCATGGGACGGAATCACAATGCAAGCCTCAAGTTGGAATCCTCAAGACCAAAGAAAAGAAGGCCGGTAAAAGAACACGTTACGCTTGAAGAATGATGTAGACCAGGCTGTAGAATTCTTTTTGAATGTTTTGTTTTTGGGAAAATCCCTCCATGTTTACATATTTTTGCCATGACATGATGGACTTTTTCTCTTGACATTTTTGGTATTTTATTTGATTCCAATTTGAGATTTTACCATTGTATATTGTTATTCTTTCCATATTTTGTACTTATATTGAAGTTTTTGTGTTTGCTTTTGAACTGTACATATATTGTTTAAATTTGATATAATATGGCTACCGCCACATTTTTGGATAGACGTGGTGGCTGCTGAGCTTAGTGTCACTTACTAGCTATTGTAATAGATACTCTACGGAGTAATTTAGTCCTGGAAGAAACATAAACATCGTAAGTCTCTGTATTTCCATTTTATAACAATAGAGACGGTTTTCTCCTAGAATTTTCGGCTTTCTGATTTGGCTGGGACGGGGATCTAGGAGAATCGTACCGGTGTGTTTCTATTGGACGCGATTAGGACAGCCGCTGGCGAAATAAATTCTACAGTCTGATGTTTGCTCTTCTTGCGTGAATTATACTTGGAAATATTTACCAGAACGCAGATAATTTGGATCTGTTTGGATTATTAAGAATTACAAGGAAACATTTGGAATTTAATCGTTTATCGTACTAGACTTCCTTGGAGGAAGACGTTGGAACTACGTATCATTAATTTTGAACTGAAATTTGGATTTATTCTATTTTGTATCGTTAACGTCTTTGCTGGACTTTATTTATGATGTCAAACCGAAAAAAATCACACGTGAGGAGGGTGGAAGAGCTCGACGGATCACAGGGCTCTAGGCAAGTCGTTAACGATAAGCTTTTTATGGGTAACCCACATGTTATGTCTGATATTTATTATTGTAAGTCATCGATAGAGGGTTTAGAATTACCTAAGGTTGAACTTTCATATTTTGATGGAAGGTCTCGCGACTATTTTAAGTTCATACGACAGATAGAGACGTTTATAGAACCTCGAATCAAGGATGATCAAGTGCGTTTATTGTATTTAATTCATTATTGTAAGGGAAAAGCTAAAAATGCGATCGAAGGCTGTCTTATAATGGACCCACAGGCGGGATATAAGAGAGCTAAGGTTATTTTAAAACAGCTTTTTGGGCAGTCACATGTGATAGCGCGAGAAACCTTAGAGGACTTATTTAGAACTGGGAATGTCGAATTTAATGATCCTGAATCATTGACGAACTTGGCCATTAAAATGCAGAATGCTTCTTTAACTTTAGAACAGTTAAATTGTACAGCTGAACTTAACTCTATGACTACTTTAGAACGAATAGTAAGGCTCTTACCTCGTCGAATGCAAGCCCAGTGGGCAGAGCTAGTATTCAAGTGGGACGAAGAGGAGAGAGAGCCCAATTTTAACGAATTGACGGAATTTATTATGTCTCGTGCTAAGATAGCTAGTAGTAGGTTTGGAAGATTAGCTTATCAGGCTAAAACAGGAAATAATATGGAAGCTACTAGTGGTCTGCGTGCGAGACATTCGGATTTTTCGTTTCTACCTAAAGCACGCTCGGAAGATAAGAGATTTGTCAATTATATCACGAAAGCATACCCTGATGAAGGACGAGTACGTGACCGTAACGATGTAAAGCCTCTTGATGCGTGTCCTAGTAAGAAGCCGGTTTGTGTAACAGATAAGATGGCTTTTCTATGTGTAGAAAAGAAAGAAAAAGGCGAAAAGTGTAGGCATCAAGATGGATCCGAAGTGTGTGACGATAAAAGCCTCTTAGCTGCTCGAAAAGCCTGGAACGGTAATTTGGATTCGAGTAATCAGAGGTTAGTGAGTCCAGCAAATATGAATAAAGCCCAGGCAGGATTGACTGAACGGAATAAAGCTTATTTTCGGAACCCTTCAGTTAGGGTAAATTATATAACTGGACCTAGAGTAGCTTCTAGGATAAGTGATGGTGATACAGTAACGGTTAAGAAGCCTAGGAGACATGATGCTACTATTACTAAAAAGCCTGAACCTCATGCTCTTACGGATGCTACGATTAGCTATGGAAATAGTAGCCATCA